CACACACACACACACACACACACACACACACACGCACACAAACAAGACCTTTTTCGGAGGTCAACAGACTCGGAGACGGTCGTCTCATGTCCGTAGAAGGAGCGATCTGCTGAAACGAGGGATTCTTTGAGAGTGCTTGTGTATTTCAGGGCGTCATTGTTGTAATTTATGGATCTGAAGCGTCAGGAACAAAATGAGCTGAGTGGACGTCCAGCAGCTGCAACGTGACGTCGTATTCTCTGGCTTCACTCTGAGACGGATCATAATGGAAACAATGAGAAATACTCCACAGACGTTCGAGGGACATGTGACCAGCAAACTGTCCTCAACTACTCAACACAATCCACCAACTGAGAGAAGGATGAACCTGCAACTGTCCAGAAGAGGAGTTCTGGGTCTGGATCCAACTGAACCTGGTTCTGTTGGTTCACAGTGAAAACACAGTTCGGACTTTTGGACCAATCACAGGAAGTAGAGACACATTAAACCATAGAAGAAGAAAAGAAGAAGAATGAGCAGCTGCAGTCTTCACCTCAGACGATATGTTTGAATCATGAGGACGTTCATTTGTACATGCTATTGAGAAGTACTGTGGAGTACTGTAGTATTGTAGTACTGTGGAGTACTGTAGTATTGTAGTACTGTGGAGTACTCCACATGAAAGTGCTGATGCTGCTATTAATACCATCACAAGGTTACCATGGCAACCACATGAAGCGCTTCATTCACTCTTTTGGTGACAGGAAGTAGTGGGCGATGTTTTTAATGCGCGATGATCCATGATGTGAATTTTTCTTCGTGAAATAGTTGAGACCAGTGAGACCGGAACCAGACGACGGATCTGTTTCTCTAAAACAAAGACGAAATAAAAAACTCGTCCGTTTACGTTTTTCACAACTTTGACAGAAAGTGTTGAGAATCAAGATGTTCAAAACTAAATGTTCTCCTCCTCTCTCTCTCCCTCCTCCTCTCTCCCTCCTCCTCTCTCTCCCATCAGACCGTCAAGGCGACGTCCCCGCTCGGCGACCCTCGTGTGACCTACAACCTGGAGGAGGGTCAGGTGCCAGAGACCAACATGCCGGTGCGTTTCTACATCAAACCGAACCGAGCGGACGGCTCGGCGTCCATCCTGGTGGCCGAGAACCTCGACTTCGAGACGACTCGCTTCTTCACGCTCAGAGTGCGAGTGCAAAACGTCGCCGCCGTGCCGCTCGCCTCCTTCAGCACCGTCTACATCAACGTGACAGGTGAGTCGGGGGGAGGAGTGCGGGGCCGTCTCTCTTACTTCCTGTCATTGCGTGTGATCTATTTGAGGTTTACTTGTGAAGACAGCGACACCTGTAGGCAACACGGGACACAGACACGCGATGACACAGCTGCGACAACAGGCTGGTTGTAATGCGAACAGACGTGAGTCGAGCAAAGCTTCATCCACATCACCACGTTTCTGTCAACTCTGCTACAGAAACGTCTGGCGCCCGCACTCCTCCGCCCCCCGCAGACCTTCAAGTGGTTGCAACATACAACAACAGCTTTCAGAACACGGTGCCGTCAGAAACACAAAGAGCTGAAGACAAAGATAAACAAGTTCCTGCACAATCTGTGGTTTTCAGACTCTGTGGCTGGAGACAGAAAAACAGTTGAATGAAATTAAATCAGAACATCTGATGTCGTCAAGACAAAACTTTACAAATGTGTGAAAACAAAACATCTGTTTTAATCTGGAGTTTGTGGTTTTGAGGTTTTGTTCTGGACCATGACGCACGTTGTCACATGATCTTTGTGGTTAAATATTCACAAGACTTGTAAGAACGTCCCAAACAGACGTGTTGTTACTTAGTGACGTGAGACGACAACGTGGGAGGAGTCTTCCTCCCCTCCCCCAAAGTGACCTGGGATCGTAGGAACTCGGCTGTAACGAGCGGCGCTGCTGGAACCTGACGGGGACGTCGAGGAGGAAACTGAACAATGAAGTGCAGTTGATGTTTGTGCTGGTGATGCTGCTGGTGTCTCATTTCAGCAGAGATTCAGTTCCCAATCAGAATCTGGAGGCGGCTGGAGCGACGGGAGCAGGAGATAACTTTCCTGACTTTGATTGGCTTTGAACAGACCCACATCGGACGCTGTAATTGGCTTAGCGGAGCCTGAAAGTGAGCTGACAAGCTGCTTTGTGGACTCGTCAGTGTGTTTGGAGAATAATTCCTCACTAACAACTCGGTTTTCATTTAGCGAGATGGAGACACCGTCCACACGTCACGATGGACTTCAGGAACCACTTCCTCTCTTATTTCCTGCTGTAAATGTCGCAAAAAGCACCAACTTTTTTCCGTCTCTCCTTCTCTCTCGCTCTCCTTTCGTTCCCTCTGTCTTTGTGCGTCTGTTTATTTCTTGCTTGTGTTTCTCGTCTCTTCTCTGTCAGTTTTTAATCCAATGTAATCAGCTTTCATGGACACGTCAGTCTGTTTGTGCTCGGCTGCCAGAACCGACAACAACAAAACAGATAAATTTAGACGAGAATACGATGATTTTCATTCCTGCTGCTTTTCTTTTTCTCCTCCTCTTTCTTTTCTCTCCGTCTCCAGATGTGAACGACAACGTTCCTTTCTTCCTGTCGTCCACCTACGAGGCCACGGTTCCTGAGGGAGCAGAGATCGGCACATCGGTGGCTCAGGTGTCGGCCACAGACCTGGACTCTGGTCTGCACGGGAGGGTGAGAAACACTTGTTCTTTCTGTCTTCTGCGTCTTCTGTGCAGTTTTCTGTGTCTTCTTCATCGTCATCATCTTCTTCGTCTTTCTTCGTCCGAGTCAGAATCCATTTGTTGTCATTGTAAACTGTGCAAACAACGAAATCAAAGTACGACAACAAACACAATCACACGACATCAAACCAACAACAACTGACGGAATAGATAATGAATTTACTAAAAAAATGAACTTGCATTAAAATGTTGCAATAGAAAATAAAGATAAAGAGCAAAGTGAGCAGCGGGGGTGAGTGGACAGTTTGGGACTGAGTTTTAGAGTTCAGGGTTGTGATGTCCTCGGGGAACAAACTGTCTCTGAACCTGGAGCTGTGTGTTCGGGCGGAGTCCTTGATGATGCTGGTGAGGTGACGGGAAGTGGCGATGCTGTCCAGGGAGGACAGTGAGCAGCTGACGGTCTTCTCTGGACGACTCTCTGCAGGGCGTTCTTATCTGAGCATCCTGCTCAGACCTCACTGGATGGATTGTTAGGATGAGCAGTTAAAGTCCAGCAGGCCGAGGTCTTCTGAGCTGTCCTCTGTCTTCGTCGTCTTCGGTCATCTTCCTTTTCTTCGTGCTCTTCTTCATCTTCTGCGTCCTCCTCTTTGTCTTCTTCTTCGTGGCCTTCTTTGGCGTCGTCTTCTTCTTCTACCTCAGCTTCTTCTTGTGCTCACTCGTCTTCCTCAGATCCACTACGCGATCCTGAGAGACGAGAGCGGAGACTCCCAGTTCTTCAGCATCGACACGCGCAGCGGCGTCATCGTCACCCGGGCCTCCTTCGACCGCGAGCAGAAAGCCTCGTACCTGATCGAGGTGCAGTCGCAGGACGGATCCGAGTCGGCCCGACCAAGCCAACAAGGACAACCCAACACCGGTAACACACACACACACACACACACACACACACACACACACACGTGGACAGGATGAGAGTGTGCAGCTGCTCTGAGGCATCATTATTTTTCTTTGTGAAGACCAATAGCTTATTAAACTTTGTATTATTCGCCTCAGACACATCGTACGTCAGGATCTTCATCACCGACGTCAACGACAACGCCCCGGCGTTCGCCCAGCCGGTGTACGAGGTGAGCGTGGAAGAGGACAAGGAGGTCGGCTTCGTCCTCATCACCGTCACCGCCAACGACGAGGACGAAGGTGAGTCCCAGCATTCCTCTGTTGTGTTGAACTCTTGTTTCCTCCCTTGTGTTGTTTCCTCCAAATCTTTTCTCCCATAATCCTCTGCTCAGTTCTCACCTGTTTTCCTCTCTCTCTCCACCTCCTCCTCTCATTGTGTTTCCCTCCCCCCCGTCCACTCTCCTCCTCCTCCTCCTCCTCCTCCTCTCTCGCTGTCACAGCTCGTTAGTGAGCGCTGCTGCTCCCTTGAGGTTGACAGTTTTGATGTTCGTCTCTTTGTTTGTGTTTGTCCCTCGTTCCTCTTCCTCCTCCACTAGAAACCAATGAGCAGCAGGAGGCAAAAAAAGTCAGAAAACAACAAAACCAGCCTCATCTCTCTCTCTCTCTCTCTCTCTCTCTCTCTCTCTCTCTCTCTCTCTCTYTCCCTCTCTCTYTCCCTCTCTCTCTCTCTCTCTCTCCCCTCCTCTCTCTCTCTCTCTTTCCCTCTCTCTCTCTCCCCCCCTCTCTCTCTCTCTTAATGATGTCTTTCGGGGCCTCTGGGGTTTTTCTTTGCTCAGAAAATAGATTGACGTCTGATTATTTATCTTCTTTTTTAATCTTTAACCTTTATTTTATTTTTCCTGCCTCCTACGTTCATATACTCCGACGCTCTGCTTCATCGTCTCATTTCTGATTTGCTCCCCCCCCCAGACTTCCTCTCCTCCCCCACAGTCTTCTTCCTCCAAACTTTCTCTCGTGGTTTCATCCGGTTTCTGAATCGTTTGTAAAGAACGGACACGAGAAGCAGCTTCGCTAACAAGCTGTGGTGCTGGAAAAAAAAAATCAAATCTGTTTCAGAGTGTGAGATCAGCTGCTGTTCAGTGGAGGGAGAGTTGAGCATGTGATCGTGTGACTCAGCGATAAAAGACTAAATAAATGTCACTAATGACTCATCACACGGCTCCTGGATGTGTTTAACAGATGACACCAGCAGCGGTCGGATCACATTTACCACAACGACAACTGTGTTGGTGCGTTTCATCTCATCACAACCAGAGGAAACAGACCTCGTGCTGCTCCAACCTCGAAGTCGTGTTAGAACTCATTTATCATGTTTCAGTTCATGACAAACAGAGACCAGAGGGAGAATCACGTTCTCATGAGCTTTGGAAAACGACTTCGTGTTTCTCATTTGAATATAATGATGTTACCATGGCAACCAAATGAAGCGCTACCCCCCAAACACACCCTCGTCAGACACCGTCCACAAACATCTGGTTCAGATGTGTGAGGTTTTTTCTTTCTGACCACTGATCCTCGTTTTAGCATCAAACTCTCGAGGTTTGAAGAAAATCTGCTTTGCTTCATGTTTTAATTCTGTTGCCTCTTTTATGTTCTTTTTATTTTTTCCGCGTGTCGTTGTTGTTCTAGATTTATATTTATTCCCTTCAGACGGATCCCTGCGAGCTGCGGGAACACGCTGAACACGGGATTAAGAAATGCTCAGATAGCAAACTGCTGATGGTTTCTCCCCAAACGCTGACGCTTTATCCCCAGTTTGTGTCTCGTCGGGTCTCCCCGTGGTAATTAACAAACACCCCTCCACCCCCAACCACAGGGGGGTCCACAGAGGGAGACAACCTTAGCTCACATCCCCCCAATCCTTCCTAACAGGCAGGTGGGTGGGGGTGTTCCTGGTCCCTGCTGAGTCAGCCATGTGAGTGGCCCGAGGTTTTTAAATCTTTAAGAATTTCCTCTTATCTCTCAGGCTTTTATGAAACCTCTCAACTGGTTGAACGTGGTGAATGGTTTCAAAAGATAACTGAATAAAGCCTCATGTTCAAACTGTTTCTCTGACACGTGTCTGAGCGGCTGTGAGTCTCTTAAAAAACTTTAAATCCAGACGTTCAGCGACTAAAATCCTTCATCTGCTTCAAATGCAAAGTAAAAACCACCAAGATCCAACAAGTGTAAACATGTGACCTCAAACTGGAGAAAAACTCTTTGACTCTTCAGACGACACAAACACGTTACCTTCATTCAAACTACGGATTTAAAATATAAACTCAGCTACAGACAAAACACAGGTCTGAGGATTTTAGACACTTAATGAGGAAACGATTCCTCGTGTGTGTGTGTGTGTGTGTGTGTGTGTGTGCGTGTGCGTGTGCGTGTGTCTGAAGGTGAAACAATCAAACTCCAGTCTGAGATTTGATGAGTTGTAAATTCAACTGAAGGTTTTATTCTCTGACTGCAGCAACTGCACCGTCACCTTGGCTCCAGGTGTGTGTGTGTGTGTGTG